CAGCCTAAAAAGATGTTGACATAAGCATACACGTGCATTCAGTGAAATACTGGATACGTATTTATTTTAAAACCCCTGCGGGTGAAATATACACTTTTTCAAGTAGTCCAACTCAAAACGATGCTCTTTTCTACAAAACGTCATAAGAAAATAGCCTTTTGTAGGTTTTTCTGCTATCGCTTACTGCTTGTGTGGTATGAAGGAAGAAGAAACCGTGGGAACTGTCAAAGCAGTTACGTGGGGCAACTAACCAGTCAGCCCTGCCTACTGTCGCTGCGATTGATTGTGCCACTCGGCAACCATGAAAGACTCCTATGTCCTTCTGTTTCTCCAAACACTCGAGTCTTCTTTTTGAGACCTTCTTGCTGTTTTATGTCCATATGCGTCGGAAAGTGACTGGCAAGTTTATACTACTTGCAGTGGTTCACAAACTGATGAAACATGGCCACCGAAATTCACTTGGTCAGTAAGGATAGACTAAATGCTGAGAATTTTAGTTATTTGTCTATCATGATGAGGAAAAAGCCATTTTCCCGATCACACTACGCATGTGGGTTATTTTATTAACTAAGGGCTGGATATATAATGTAAGAGCTCCTGATTTTTCAATATATATAATATTTTCCAGGCTAAAAAGTAAGAAAGATCGAGGCTGCTTGCTGGCAAACACCATTCTGCGAGGCTAAGTTACAGAAATTGTCTTCGTGTCCATTTTAATCGGTTCTCAGGCCTGTACATACTATATCAGGTAGAATGTTCAAGAAATTACAATAAATTTTATTCTTGTCGCGATTCTAACCAAGCAATCAAACAAAATCGTCCTCACTCAAATCAATCGAGACGGATGTAATATTGAAACAATGTTAGATATGAAAACAACTTCGACTGTAATGTCAGACAGTCTACTGATTTTCATAATTTGCAGTTGTTTTCGTCAGGAGGGCATTAAAACCCAGGCGTAACAGGTAGGTTTTTTGAACGTTATTGTTCAAACTTTTGGTAAGATGTGGCTATCTGGCCGCACCTGATGGGCACAATACTGTTGACCTACTTAATTATTTTGAGTTGGTGTGATTACATTGGCATGGTGTTGCTGTGCTGTGTGTTCTCATGGTGGCCTTCTTTCCTCGTTGTCGCGTCTACCTTAGTTGGCCCACAGCCGGTGGTCCTTCTTGAATTTCGGCCCGTCGTCTCCTCCTAACTTTCGTGTTGGATGTTCCACTGTTGGGATTTGAGGTTGCAATTAGGGATTAGGGCTATGGTAGGGCTTAGGGCGAGAGTTAGGGGTTAGGGTTGGGGTTAGGGGTTGGGGTTACGGGCTAGGACAAGTATTTTTCAACCACTCAAAGTACAACCGCGCATTCGCAATAGCTTTTCTTTTGCATACAATTACTTGACCTCGTCATCTGTGCGTTCCCCTGCCCCGCCTGTAAAACCCCCTATTACCACCGGTCCCGTATTACAAGTGGCTGGGGTTTGTTTACCTCAGGTGCGGCTACATGGCCACATCTGACTAGAGTTTGTTTTACATAATCACTTCTTTGCATCAACTTTTCATGTATACTCCTAACGATAAGCTAGATACCAGAAACACTGCGTGCTTATGGTGGAGTTTACGTTCTTATTAAAAATGCTTCACTGCCAAGAAATGCATTGCGACCTACAATGTTATCTCTTGTTTTCTTTTTAGTTAAATTGATTTATTTTCTGACAGTTCGCTCTGCTCGATACAGTTGGGTTGGTTCCTGAGTTTCTTCGGATGTTTTTTCACTTATTTTGTTAACTACTGTACTTTTTGAAAGTGCTTCGAAAGTCATTGTCTTTAACTGCTGAAAGACTTCTTGGCGGGAACCTGGCATGCCACTATGCTCGCACACGCTTTACTTTACGTATGATATTTGCATGATAGTATTGGATCCCGTGTGCATATCTATTCTACTTTGAGGCCTCATGGAGTATTTCAGCACAGACTGTATGTGTTAGTATGCCAACAGACTCTCAAGTAAGTGGGAAGAATGCCTCTCGGCCCCGTTCCTATGCGGCTCATTTACTGCATGTGTAATCCGAACCCGAGCCTATCATGGTTCGTTAAGCGTCTTGGCCTTGAAAGTTGCCAAGTGATGCTTCAGCACAATGCACGTGGTCTGCCCAGTTGTGTGTGTGTTTTTGGATGGAATGGTGGGGTGGTGGACTGAGAGTCAGGCTGTAATGGCTCCTTCTCAACGTGGTCTCTGGCAATCTCTCGCGCGAAAGATGCATTTCACTCATTCCCTCTTTTGTGAAATCCTGGTGCTAGTGTTCGGGCGATCGGGTCGTGTTTGGGGCACGCGCAGGCGAGGTCACTAGATATGTCCGCAACCCCTGTGCCCATTCCCAGCACCAGACAAATGACCGGCTTAGAGAGTGGCTGGGGCCTGGAAGTGGGAATAGACAGTAAGTTCGGCGATCCAGCGAATTTTCCTCACTTTAAAAGTCTGACGCGTTTGAAGTTTTCACGGTGCGTTAAAAGTTGTGGCTTGGAAGGTAACAAACTGACTGGATTACCTGGACCTCTTAATCTGCCCAGTGTGAGTGCCTGTGTGGAGTGGCCGACTGGTGGAATGAAAGTCAGGCTGCAAGGACTCCTTCTTTATTTGACCTTTATGGCACTCCACCCTAGTGAGATCCAAGCGGGATGGTGGCACGCCTGGGGGCGGATCCGACCGCGCCAGCCACCTGCGTCCTCTCCTGCCTCCGGTCTCGCTGGCTCTGTTTTGACACCGGCTCCAGATGGAGGGGAGAATGCGCGATAGTTGCTGCGCAAGTTCACAATCATTACACACGATTTCACGCGCAAGTCACCGTCCTTGCTCTCGCCCTGTTGTGTTGTACACAGGGGACATAGTCAAAACCGACTGTCGAACTGTCACAAACTCTTGAAATATCGATCGTTATTTTTAGTCATCTGGCTACGCTGGTTGTGCGTTTAACGATCTGGTTATGGGACCCGGTCGCTCTAATATGCCTTGGGGCTCAATGAAGTTGTCTCGAAGGAGAACTAGGATCGCCATTTCTGACTTAGTAACCGTCGTCAGCCAGCCTTATTCTAACGCAGGTTTTCAGGACGTGAGTTCCGAATCCGCGTTCGGTGTTCACCAAGCTTAAGTAAGTTCAAAACTCCGCCACTGAGCCTCAGGTCCGTTGTCCTGTCGGTTACGATCAATAATGTTAACTGTGCTGGAAGTACGCTCACGGATCAGGTTACGGAACATGTTCGTCCCGTTATGTGTTAAATGGAGAACACTCGTAAATAGTCGCACAGCGACTAGTAATATATGCTGACAAGGGGAACTCTTTTCTCTGGCACAGAGAAATACGTTTTTGGGAAAGTCAATGAATTTTATTTCCAAGATGTTCGAATCCGGTACTCCAGTGCATCGCTAAACAAATTGACAAGGTACAGAAAGCAGTTAATTTCAAGCCAATGTCTGATAACTGCGGCTGGTCAACATCTAAGTCAATAGGTGTCCACTGCATTCAGCCAGCCAATCGATGTTGGCTCCGTCCGTTTACACCTGATCTTGCGAAATTTGTATTTGGTATCTCATTCGACACGACTATTGATGCATGCTTCAGCTGAATGCATTGTTTCTAGGATCTCGTGGTCTTTCTTCATTGGTTAGGCACTAGCTATGCTAGTGTTCTCCCGCACAAATTTGTGTCCAGTATCTAGTGTGCATGGCCACCTAGGATAAGTGATCCTACCTTTTCACCGCTAGCTAATGCTTATGTATATGGTCGAGAGAATTCTCCGTCTGGCCACAATAGACAGCATCACAAGTGCAGCATGGGATTTTGTAGATAACACCTTTCACAGAGGTAGCCACTCATGTCCTGAGGATGGGAAAGCGGGTGTACAAGGTAATTGCAGGTTCGTGTGCTACTTTCATCCGATGTCTTTTGATGTTCTAACGACAAGCTCAGATAAAAAATCTTTACGTATGGGAGAGTTCTCCGGGAGATTGCTTTTGGTACCTTGGCGGCCATAGTGCTGCAAATCATATTATACCGGTACATATACAGGATCTTTTCTCCTGTAGCCTCCTTCACACACTTTCAGGTAAAGAAGTGGTTCACTGTTGATTTCCGTTAGTCAGCACAATTTTTGAGCCACAAAGTGCTGACGCAAGCGGATGTAGAAAACGTAAATACTAAATTAACGGTTTTCTGTATATCGTTTGGAGTTCCGCATGGTCAATTTGGACTTACTAGCCGTCGAAATACCAAACTCAACTGGGGCACCTTTGGGACCAGTATCCGGTCCCAGGTTAATCATGTGTTCACACTCTCCCGATCGTGATTGGCTATATCCAAGGTCAGATGGCGGTGGTGGTCGCCGATAAGGCCTACTTACTGGGTGGAATAATAGCATCTGCCCAATTTGCATGCCTTTTAGTATTACTCGAAGCCACTCTATTTGGGTTAGCCAGGGGTTGTAGCTAGTCACTTCTTAAAGAGGAATCGCGTTCCACATCTGCTGAAGTAAGGTGGAGATCAGTAATCGAAAATCCGTCAGGGTTCTTTCATCTTCCTTCTCTGGCAACCACAGCTGTAGCGGTCAGTCAGACTGTGCATAGAAAGAAAAAGAAGAGGCTCGCTATGTTAGACAGTGAGCGTCTGCAGCCGGTGAGTCTCTCCGAGAGCCAATCCTGAGCCTGGCACCAGAGCTCTCGCCAATCAGGTAGCTCGATTCGCCGTGCCCCATTCGCGACATCGCGTCTCTCCGAGCCAGAGGCCCACGCCCCCTTGCGTGTGCGTGTGTGAGTATGCAGTACTTCTACCATCATTTCACAGTCAGGCAAACAGACAGCATACTCCCACTGCCGAGAAGTCGCATCACAGAAGTGCACTCACTGCGAAAATTACACGTCCTTCAGACACCAAAACATTTCGCCTCTCGAGTTTGCGGAATATAAGCACGCGGCGGACCATCAACCCCTCCTCCTCCTCCCCCACCCAAAATGCGGATCTCCCTACTCTCGTTGCCCCTCACGTGCCTGTCCATTGGCCTATGCATCACTTCCCTGGTGTTGCCGTACTGGAACTGCGGCCAGTTCTTCACCACATGCCTCTTCACCATCGTGCATATCATCATTGTGGCTCTGATCTGCGGTGGTCTGGGCATCATCACGCTGGTTTTCATTATCGATCTCTGTAACACCTGCAGAGACTCCTGCGTGCCGGGTCAGATCTGTGCCACCTACCGTCTCCTCTTCAATGCCATCGGATCGGCAGCCCTGATGGCTGGCACTCTGCTCTACGCGGTGATGTTCGTCAAGAGTTGGTCCTTTGTGCTCTGTCTCATAGGCAGCATGATCGCGGTATTTGTCACGGTGATATCGATTTTTTCCAGCGGCTGCATCACCGGTCGATAGAGCGCCATCCAAAGCCAGCGATAAGTGGATTCAGACTAACGCTTCTTATGGCCACCGCAGAAGAGGCGGCAGAATCCCACTGGGATTTGTGGATTCTACCGTCTAGCTGACTTTGGAGGAAACTTTTATCAATTGACCCTTGGTCAAAACACACGTCTTTCACGTAGATGAGTCCTTCATTTCCCTGAAAACTGATATATTTTGAATAAGGTTTAGTTTTTTGTTTTGTAATTATCAGAGGAGAGACTCTTAGTTCTGATTGTATTACATCTTTATAATAAAATTAAGGCTCACGGATGTTGTTTTTTGCGCGTATTTGTTGCAAAAACGGTACAGGCTTGCGTTACGCGCACTCAAATGTATCAGAATTAACAGGTACGAAATTGATTGGATAATCCTTAAGCTTGACCTCCGAGTTATTGTAGGAGGCGGCGTATGGCGTAAAATGTTAACTGAAATACAAAACTGAGTTTCGGACGGGAAAAGATTACTAAGGCGGTTTTCTAATATTGATCCTCATGCAACGTAGTCCTAGGACATTTCAGTCATTCACCAATGTCTGCTTTTGAATGAGAATTTTTCCGGTCACCTACAAAAACTGCATTTGATAAAACTGGTTACTTAACTAGTATGAATCTTGTCCGTTGATTTTCGATGCTCTTATAAATCTGAACACATTTTGCAGAGAACATGGACAAAAATATCATTTCTTGTTTTCGTTTTGTATCAGATCACATCTTCCTCAGATATTATTTCCGAAGAACCGACGCGCTCCGGTTCTACAAAGGTTTTTTTTTCAATCCTCCAACAATTTTGAGCCGGGCTTGTCAATGCATGCGCGTTGAAGGTTTTCAAATTACGAGTTAAGATATTTCATTCCTCCATGTCATTAAGAGCGTAACACATAGGGCTCACAAAAAATTGCAACAGAAATGGACCGAGCTGTATACCCCAGAAGAGCATTACTAATTGGACAGATGCGATATCACTTGGATGGACATTTCCTAGTGTTCAAAAATCCTAAAATTACAAGCTTTTTACACCAAGGGATACTCTTTGTTCGTACATAAAATGTGAAGAAGACGTAATCTTCTACCAAGTGAGCCCAGGAAAGGATATTTTTGTGAATGTTTTCTATGAAATATGTTTGTCTGTATAAGCGCATAGAGGAGCACTGGACAAAATCCATACCACATAAATAATCATTTTTTTACCGAACGTGGTTTTCCAAGTGTTCGGAAAGAAATGCACTCAAAAGCCGGAATTCAGTGATGAATGGACTATCTTGAGTTTATTCTGAGAACTAATCAATATTACACCCCTGCGCAACAGTATCATGGATCAATTGCCCGAGTGCTTTCAAGTGGTCAAATACCGCTGATGGCTGCTGACTTGACGCAGTCAAAATCAGGCTCCGCAAGATTGGGATTAATTTTTCCTCTTCGGAATGTTTCATTAGTTGACAAAAAACATGTGGCCGGAAGGTTTCTAAAGATCGCTCGTGCAGAGCAGATTTATAACTGGATATTCGATTTTTTCGAAGGATCTGGGTGGAGCGGATAGTTGCCAGTTTGACGCCTGTGAGATGACAAAATTAGAATGATTCATACTCACATTGACCCAACTGCGAAAAACTCGGCGCCTCAGTGGGATTTGAACTCACGCAGAAAGGGCAAGACTTTCGTACAGCCAACGCTCTGAGCACTTGAACTACGAGGCCCCGTCGGACGACGCGAGTTTAATCACATTTGGGTCAATTAGAATGTTATGGGCCTCTGGGCGACTGTTAAAGTTGGGCACGATTTACCTGTGGAAGTGTTATAAAGTTTGCTTATTTTTCACCTAAATGACACAGAACTTCCCAGTCATACCAAACTGTGCGCATCAAAACGAGCTGAATCATGAACGCACTATTCAAACGTGGAAGCCTGGGTGTCCCAGATACGTTCTTCTCATAACTGAGAAAAATTCGCCAAGACACAGTCTCTGTTTGGCCCGTTAGGTTGCATTGGGTTAAACACTAGCTAGTCCATCTCAGTAAGTGCCGAATGAAATTCTGCAATGTGTTTTCTATTAGCAAAAATTACTTTGGTGGGTTATAACATTGATAGTCACGCAAAAGAACCCCAAAATATTTCAATCACATCAGGATGCCATGTTTTAAATGCCCTTTTTCTCGACTACCCGCAAAAATCGCATTCTGGACAAGATTGTGACTTAAGTAGTATCAATTTTATCCGTTTAGTTTCTTTGCCCCTACATATTCAAATATACTTTATCGGAAATACGCGCAAAACGTTATTTTTGAACTCATTTAGTAAAACATCACGTCGTCTTTAAGCTATATATACCCGAAGCAAAATTATTTTAAGGTTTTAGGAGTCTTTTTTGCAATTCCCGGATGCCTTTGGCCCGATCTTCAATTTCCCTTGTACTTGGAATTTCCGAACTGCATGTTAGATATGTTCTGCGCAAAAAATCCCATACTTCTCTACGCTGGTAATTAAACGTCATGTTAAGTTCAAACAAGTTTCTAATTGATGTGAGGCACCTTGCTTCTTTCACAAACATAATTAAAAAGGGCAGATAGCATGCCGCATGAATAGACATCTAACTGCCTTAGAAATCACATACTTACGAAAATATTTTGGCAACGATAGGGTAAAGAAACCCAATTACCTGTCGGTAGACTGTGGATCGTGTGCTGATGTGTGCACCTGCAAAATCTAGTTAGGTACTGATGACTGGCCCTTGTAACCAAGAGCGGAAAAGCAAAAACGGAGATCAACTAGGCATGAATTGAGGAATAGCAAAAATTTCTGTGGGGGGATAAGATCGGTTGTTCTATGATTAGGCCCCTTTCAAGATGGAACGCCATAGAATATCCAGCCGGATGCCGTATCTGCATGCATTCATCATTTTACTCGAAAGAACTGTTTTGCCACCGACCGTTTTCTGTGTTTTCATGCATTCCGCCAGCTCACTGCCCCGTACGCTGCCCCACCCGTAAAACCCCCTATTACCGCCATTCTCGTATGACACGATCCACATTCTATTGACTGCTAATTGTGGTCTTTTACCCTAGCGTCGCCAAAATTTTAAACCCAAAGACACCCCTTCCTCGAGTATAAAATCCAACGAAGTCGTATTTGGTTACTAAGTGAGTAAGAAAAATAATACTTTTGCGCGTGCTTCCTGTAAAATACAAGAGATTATATAGGGGCATCGAAAATCGATGAGGAAAATTCCTACTGTTTAGTAGTAACCTCTACCGAGTGTGGTTTCTGCATGCGGCCGAAAAGAGACTCGCTCAAAAAACGGCATCGTAGCGTGACTGACATGATTCTGGATTGTTCTGAAAGGTAATAAATATTGAAACCCCACTTGAGTAGTTCACTCAAATTTCGGTCAAAATTTCGTGCATAGGCCGCTACTGTACAATAAATTAGATTAGTTAAGATGTCAAACAGTAGGAAGAAGTCGTTAGTCATAAGGAAGAAAACTCAGGATAATTTCTTAAATGAATTGCCGGGCATATGCAATATGTGTTTTAAGTCGAAATTTAAAAATTTTGCGGGATAAAATAGTATGGGTAGACGGTCAGCATCGTCTGCGAATGAAAGCTGGCTGCATAACTAGAACTGTGTATTGTATACTTTTTCTTGACTTCAACTTTGAATTCAATTTGCCCTCATAGATGTTCTTAAGTGACCTGCCTCATCCTGTTGTGATCACGACAAGCCGGTCTCTCAAAATATTTCTAACTAGAAGGCACTTTTGGGGAGTTAAGGTTCATAACTTTAAATAACACCACCGAAAGTCTTAAAATTTTTGCTACTGATTTTGCATTACTTATAAGGATTTTTATGTTATATGCGAAAGGTACATTTAATAGGTGTTTCGGCAGATTTGGGTAGTTCATCTGACCCATCTTCGAAAAACTCAACAGCCTCGGTAGTGATTCGAACTCGCACCAGTAAGGGCATGGCCTGTATAAAGCCAACGCTCTAACCACCTGAATTATGCAGCCTCGATCTAGAGCCGTGAGTTGAGTAGCATTCAGGTCAAGTTATCCGTCCAACCGGACTGTACTGCATGGACTTCATCAAATCAAGTCTGCCAGAACACCTATTAATTAGGTAAACCTAGTAGTCACCTTGTGAATCCTAGCTTGATTATATAGGAAATCTTGGCTGCGCTGTCAGCTTTCAGCATCAAAATTGGTGGATTCTATACTCTGCACTAGGTTGGGTAGGTAATTTGACCAAACTCTAGTTAAATTTACGGCTCGCGGTCGGGACATCGTAGCCCAGGGGGTTTGAGTGTTCGCTGTGCTCAGGCCTTGTCCTTGATTCCACTGGTTCGAATCCCACCGAGGTTACTGATTTTTTAACGGTTAGGACAGATGAAAGTTATATGTCGCCTTTGCTATGCATTTAATGATGGCAAATAAAACCTAAAACTTTGTTTTTTCAAATACGGTTGTTGTTTTTAAAGCGTGCTCGGACCACGGCCGCCCATCGTAGACGACAGGCACGTGAGTGTAGAATTCCGCTTAGCCTTCCCTGCTTAATCGGCTTGTGCATTTCTTCGAGTATTAATTTAATTTGTGTGCGGCGGGTAGTTTTCCGCCATCAGAACCCCAAGATTGACTAACCAGCGCTAAGACGGCCAAGTAGATGCGCGTTGGAGGGCTTGTCTTGACAAAATGACAGTCCGTCTTACAATACTGACTGATGCAGCCCTATTTGGGAAAGTTAAGTATACGTAAGGCTAAAGACAGTCCATAAAATATTTAACACTTTCCTCAGATGTCAAGCCCTTCTACTGCGTCGGGCTACTATTATGAGTACAGTGTTACATCTTGCTCAAAATTCTGAAAATAGTTCACGTTCAGCGGCCTCAGAGATTTATCTGTAGATTGGATCAACTCAGACGATTTAAAGAGTAATTCTCCCTCGATTTGAATGTCTACTTGAATAGAAACCCTTTTCATGAGT